ATTTTTCGGGGGGGGGGAGGGAGGGTTGGGGCTGTGCATGCAAATTTGGGAGCCACCGGATCAGATACTCCCTGGGGTTCCATTCAGGGTCTGAAAATACTCATTTTACTGCATCGGAAAAGGCGCAACAACGTGGCTACTGTGGCCCGGGCCCCCCGCTCATCCCCAGCCTGCGCCCCCCGACTTCCCTCGGTGGTTCCTTCCTCTACGCTTTCCCTGAGCGCCCTTCCTTGGGGACCCTTCTCCCGTCTCCTGGCAAGGTGGCCGGAGCCCCGGGCACCCGTCCCCCGGCCAGAGCAGAGGGCCCGCCCCCTCCACCTTCGGCCTCTCCCCTCCGTCTCTCTCTCTGGCCCTGTTCCCGCATCACGCACGCGGCTGGCGGCCTCCGGCCTGTTCCTGGCTGTGTAGTGTGAATTTTACAGCTTCCTCCCTCCCCTTCTGACTGTTCGTTCCCTCGATTTCCGAGCAAAACCGCAGCATAGCTCAGCTTCCAGGACATCGTTTTATTACCACTGTCTTTTGTGGTTTGGGGATGCTTGCCTGGAGGAGATAAATATTTCTGTGTCTGTGGTTGACCAGGGCCCCGGCGCAGACTTTACATACGGGCTGGATGTTCAAAAAGCTGTTTTTTGTTGTGTTTGTTTTGTTTTTAATTAGGAAAATTAAAATGATAGCTTAAAAAGCGAAAGCCAAGGAAACACGTTAGCTTTCGACTGTGGAATGTGTGGACCGTCCCNTTTTTTTAATTAGGAAAATTAAAACGATAGCTTAAAAAGCGAAAGCCAAGGAAACACGTTAGCTTTCGACTGTGGAATGTGTGGACCGTCCCCATACAATTCCTCCTTGTTTTAAAAGTTGCTCCTCCCTGGAGTCCCGTCGGTTCTGTGGGGTCCAGCCAAGGCGGCCCCCTCTCCCGTCTCCCACATACGAAAACCGCGGAGAGAGGGCAGGTGGAGGAAACGCGTTGCGTAGGTTTCCGTTTCTGCAAAAAAATCGAATTAGGTTGCATCTCCCGGGGATCCGTTCTGCTCACACACAGGAACGACGACCGCGTGTGGGGAGGTCGTCTTCGGTGCCAGTTCTTGCTCTAACTCATTTAATTATAACGCGGACCCCACAGGGAGGCGTCAGCAAAAGGGGAGCATTCCACCCTGCCCGGTTTGGCTCAGTGGCCTGAGGGACTGAGGGGTCCCGGGTTCGATTCCAGCCAAGGGCACGTACCTCGGATGCAGGCTCGATGCCCGGCCCCGGTCGGGGCGTGTGCGGGAGGCAGCCGATCGATGTTTTTCTCTCTCTCTCTCTCTCTCTCCCTTTTCCACTCTCTCTGAAAAGCAACGGGAAAGATACCCTCAAGTGAGGCTTAAAAAAACAAAAAAGTGCAGCCTTCCAAATGGATTGGATTTCGTCGCAATGAAGTTGTTTCCGCCCTACTTGAGCGCTTGTCATTCCTCCCTCAGTGGCCTGCGGGTCACCTCCGCCTCCCTGGGTTTCCGCAGGTTCATTCCGGAGCCCTGGTCGGCCTGCAGCGCCACCTGCGGGCTGGGAGTTCAGGTCCGAGAGGTCAAGTGCCGGGTGCTGCTCACGTTCACGCAGGCGGAGACCGAGCTGCCCGAGGAGGAGTGTGATGGCCCCCGGCTGCCCACGGAGCGGCCCTGCCTCCTCCGGGCCTGTGGCGACGGCCCCGCCTCCCTGGAGCTGGACGCCCCCCTCCGCGAGAAGGCCAGCGAGATGACCTACCACTGGGAGTACGCGGGGTTCACCCCTTGCACCGCCACCTGTCTGGGAGGTACTGGATCCTTTGCTTTAAGGGACGGTTATGTTCGCGTTGCTCTTGTTTTGAGAAACATCTGCGGATGTCTCGGGCCGACCGGCTTTCAGTGATTTTTAATCTTTACCAGCCACCTCCTAACGAGAACTCACCTGCCTGGAGCGCCTGGAAAACTTGCATTTGGGCACCAAGAATGATACATGCTTTTCTTTGGCGCTTTGCGGGGTCCATAGGACGCGTATTAGGATCTTTTTCGTTACCTGGGAGTTCACAGTCGGACCCAGCCTGTCACACTGACTAACCAGCAGAGAGAAATAGATATGCTAACTCTTCTTTCCAACCTGGCCCCGGGCATGTTTCCATGTAGTGTTTTTGTGTTAGTGCTCACATCGCGTTAAGGTAGAATGGAAGGGGTGGGGGGAGAGAGAGAAACATCCACGTGAGGGAGACACATCAGTCGGCTGCCACCCCCACGTGCCGTAACCCGGGCTGGGGATCGAGCCTGCAACTCGGGTACGTGCCCTTGGCTGGCATCGAACCCGGGTCCCTTCGGTGCGCAGGCTGACGCTCTAAACGCTGAGCCACACAGGCCGGGGCAAAGTCAACCTATTTTGATGTTTACTTTTACTTTGGGAGACCAAGGTTTGCTTTTCTGCTTCTTGAACTGATGAAATGTGTTAAAACCGTGGGGTAGGCACCCAGCACTTGGGATGGGAGGTGTTCTTACGGCCCGTCTTTGGAAAACCCAGCCTGTGTCGATAAGTAACCCTAACTCAGCTATTAAACCTCTACATTCTTTTGAGCAGCTTGTTTTAAGACAGAAACTCTTATCACGAGGGTTGTAAAATGCCATCCAACGTGGTCAAAACGGCCCTGGCTGGTGTGGCTCAGTGGTTAGAGCACCGGCCCGAGGACGGAAGGGTCTTGGGTTCGATTCTGGTCAAGGGCACGCGCCTCGATCCCAGGCCCCGGTTGGGGTGGGTGGGGAAGGCAGCCAACTGATGTGTCTCTCACATCGATGTTTCTCTCTCTCTCCCCCCCTCTGCTCTCTCTGAAAAGCAGTGAGAAAAATATCCTCTGGTGAGGATTTTTTTTAAAATGGTCAAACTTTGGTGCTTTGAGGTTCACCCTCTGAATCTCCAGAAAATGCTCCAAAATAGCATCTATTTTTTTTTAAAGAATTTTGGTTACAAAGTAAAATATATGTGGAAGGTTGCTTGATTTTATTTTCAGATTAAAAAAGAAATGAAACCTGCTAGAAAGTGGGCATCTGTGTCCCCATGAAGCCACTAAGGAAGTTTGAATTTTGCAGACACGAAGCAGGGTAATTAGGTGGCCGCGGGGTCTCCTTGTGCCCAGGTTAGCCGGCGTTTATAAGAAAACAAGTTTATGGAAGATGCCTGGAGATTTCAGACTGTATCCGGCTGCGGTCAGGAACCTAAGCTCACAACCGAAGGAAGCAGGAAAAAGTTTTAGTCGGAGGAACTACACATCGCAGATACATATTTCATATATACTTTGGCCCCTACTGCGTTCTATAAAATACTGTAAAATGGTTGGCTTGAAACATGGCATTTGCAGAAAGAATCACAATCCTGTAACCTAATGGAACCCACATTCTTGCGTGAAACCGAATACATTTGCATATTTCCACCTAACCGAGCCCATCGCCGTTACAGTTTTTACGTGATATTTTTTCCATCAGCAGTTTGATTTATATTTTGTTCGGTTCTGATTCCCCAGTAATTCTTTATGTCGCAACGGACAGAGAATAGCGGCCGGAGATGTTGGCTTTGGGGGGTCAGACAGACCTGTCTGGCCTCGGAGGAAACATGTGCCTCAGCTGGAGGAGAGGAGGCAGGGAATCTAATTTTTAGTTTTGAACCGACTGCTCTTTTTGCTCCCTTAGTTTCTCTCTCAACCTCAGTTTCCTTACTATTACCTGAATAATGTGACGAATGACGGTGGGATTTTGACCCCACAAGGTTACGATGAGCTCAGGTAATATATTTGAAAGCACTTTGCACACCCCGGAGCCCGTTGCCAATGGACGGTATAGCAATAGACGTATTACTCATCGTGGTCATTGGGAGCAGGAGCTCAGACCGTAAGGAAAATTTGAATGAAGGTTATATATGAAATTTAGTACGTATGGCCCGACTGGCGTGGCTCAGTGGTTGAGCGTTGATCTAGGAACCAGGAGGTCACGGTTCGATTCCTGGTCAGGGCACATGATCCCCAGCAGGGGGCGAGCAGGAGGCAGCCGGTCAGTGACTCTCTCTCATCATTGATGTTTCTCTCTCTCTCCCTCTCCTTTCTCTGAAATCAATAAAAACAAATATTTTTTTTTAAAAAATGAGCACATCTGCAGTGATATAGAGAAAATGGGATTCTTTAGCAGCTGATCTGAACGTTCCTCTTGGGGAAACCCTTGTATATGTTTGGAAGGAGCACATTTGAGGGACCTCCTAGCTTTTTGAGTACATTGGGATGGAGACAAGTTGTGAAGGTGGGCGCTCCAAGGCGAATGTGTTTGGGGGAGAGGAAGTAGAGGGTCCAGGTTTAAAAAGTGACCGTGAGAGATTGTCAGAGATGGGGGACTTCAGAAAACTCAAAATTACTTGCTTCCACGCGTACCCCGAAATGCGGCCCGCGGTTACACGGCGGAGTCCAAAGGGCGGTGGCTTAAGCATCACACATCCCGAGACCAGGTTTTCTTTTTTTCCATCAAAGTCATTTGCTTTTTTTTTCTTCCTTTCCAACCTCCAGGCCACCAAGAAGCCATCGCAGTGTGCTTACACGTCCAGACCCAGCAGATGGTCAATGACACCCTGTGTGACGTGGTCCACCGGCCTCCGGCCATGAGCCAGGCTTGTAACACGGAGCCCTGCCCGCCCAGGTATGTGCTTGTCTTGTGCTCCTGGGACGCGCTGTGTCTGGAAGGTGACTCCCTCTCCTGCAGGGAAACGCCCCTGTGTGTGGGGACTTGTGGGCTCCCCCAGGGCTGGGCTGCTGAGCCTACTGCAGGGTTGGCCCGTCTCTGCTCAAGCTCTGCTGCAGCCAGATACTTGCTTCAGTGAGCAGATGCTGCTGTGCTGATACCAGGAATCCCCCGGCTTTTGTCTGCATTTAGCATGAATGGACATAAAGTGGCCTGCTGCTGGCAACACTGTTCTCTATCCACAGTGGGGGGCATGCAAGAGGCAGCCGATCAATAACGCTCAGCATTGATTTTTTTTTTTTAACGTATTTTATTTTTTTATTATTTTTTAAATCCTTACCCAAGGATATTTTTTTCCATTGCTTTTCAGAGAGAGGGGGAGAGAGAGAGAGAGAAACGAAATGAGAGAGAAACATCAATTGGCTGCCTCCCGCATGGGCCCCCGACTGGGGCCAGGGATCTTGCCTGCGACTGTCCTTGACTGGAATCGAACCTTGGGACCCTTCCGTCCTCAGGCCGATGCTCCAACCACTGAGCCAAACCAGCCAGGACTCATCGTTGATGTTTCCATGTCTCTCTCCCTCTCCCGTCCTCTCTCTGAAATCAATAGAAACGTAGTAAAATAATTATAATAATAGAGCACACAGCGTGTCCTGGCCACTTTGCAAAAATTAAGAGCCTGTTTTTACGCAGAGGGAAATACCCGCTTCTCGTTTGAGTTGCGGCTTCAATAAACGTTTTGAAGGTTGAGAGTTATGTTGGAAAACAGCCAGCAGAGACAAAGGGTTGATGCCAAAATAAAGGTAAGTTTGTAAAAATGTTTTAGGTTCTAGCAACCAGCGGCGTAGGAATAACAGGAACGGGGCATTGCGTAATATTTTCCGTACAAATATTTACCGGCTCCAAGGGCGGATCGCAGCCAAATATCACCCCAGGGCGAAGCTCGCCACCGAGGTCAGGTCGGACGCTCGGTGCATCTTTATTTACCCAAAGGCAGATGTATTTGATGTATTAGCTGGGCCTCTCCGAGGTAGGGTGTTGCGGGTTTATTTGCTCTTTGGGGTGACTCCCCTGGTCTGTGCTGTGACGGCCGAGTGTCTGCTATTTGCGGAGTTTGCTTTTTCCAGGAGAGAGCCGGCAGCTTGGAGAAACACGCAGGGTTACGTAACGGTCCCTCTGGTCTAAGGAGAGCCTTCCTCTCTGAGAACATTCAGCATCTCCAGGGAGGGACGTGGGAAGGCCAGAGGCTAGAGGGATGCGTTTTCTGGACCAACTGGTCACCCAGTTCTTGAATTTAAAGACCAAGTTCTTTTTCTTTAAAGAAGTTAAGTTTTTATTGATTTCAGAGAGAGGAAGGGGGAGAGAGAGAGAGCGAGAAACATCAACAATAAGAGAGAGTCGATGATCGGCTGTCTCCTGCACGCCCCTGACTGGGGATCGAGCCTGTATCCCGGGCATGTGCCTGGACTGGGAATCGAACCAGTGACCTCCTGGTTCATAGGTTGATGCTCAACCACTGACTTGAAAGAGAGAGAGAGAGAGACAAAGGGGGAGAGAGAGATGGGTTGTTCCACTTATTTATGCATTTGGCGTATCAGGACGATGGAGCGGAGACTGTTTTAAGCGCTGTTACCTGGGGTTGGTGTGGGCGTAGGAAACTAGGCACTCATGCTCCTGGTGAGAGTGTGAATTGAGAGGATCTTCCTTGAAGGCAATTTGGAAATATATGCCAAAAGCAGCTGCCCCAGTTTTTCGTTTTTACAGATGTTTCATGAGAAAACCTGATTTTTCCAAGCTCCTTACTGGAAGGGAGTCACAGTATATATACATATATATATACACACACACACATGTAGTAAATCCAACCCTAACGTAAAGTAATTTTTCTTAGGAATATTCCAAATAACGAGCCCAGGTGCCCTGAAAATCTCCTGACGTGTGCTTTTCAGCATTTAACATTTCTCCTGACACCTGCATAAATCAGCCTTTGCCTGGAGCTCCATTCAAAGCAAAACCAAGATTTCGTTATTAATATGTGGTGGGGTAGGTTAGGGTGGGGAGAAATCGGCTGCCTTTTCACTCTGGGCTTTGCCCCAACGGGTAGAATCTTTAATCAAGTCTCCGATATTTCTTGTCTTAAAAGATCATCTCTGTGTCTGAGGGGCAGATGTGGCCGGAGATGCCAGCTTCGTGTGCCAAGTGTGAAATCCGTAGGTCTAGAGAACCTGAAATTGTCCGTGTGGTGTGTGTTTTTTTAAATTGGTTTAATCTTTATTGTTGAAAGTATTTCAGATGTCCTCCCCTTGCTTTGGGCCCCTCCGCCCCATATCGGCCCCACCACAGGCTTTGCCTGTACTATCATTTGTCTGTGGGCTATGCCTATAAGTTCTTTGATTACCATGGAATACTATGCAGCTGTGAAAAAGGGTCTCTTACCCTTTGGGGCAGCATGGAGGGACCTGGAGAGTATTATGCTAAGAGAAATAAGCAAGTTAGAGAAACATAAGTATCACATAATCTCACTTATACGTCAAATCTAATGAACAAACTAAACTGATGAACAGAATTGTCCATGTTGCCCGGCTGGCATGGCTCAGTGGTTGAGCATCGACCTAGGATCCAGGAGATCGAGTTTCAGTTCCCGGTCAGGGCACAGGCCCGGGTTGTGGGCCTGATCCCCAGCAGGGGGCGAGCAGGAGGCAGCCGATCAATGACTCTCATCATCGATGTTTCTCTCTCTCCCTCTCCCTTCTTCTCTCTGAAATCAATAAAAAACATATTTTGAAACAAAAAAAGATTGTCCGTGTTTTGACTGCTGAACGTGGTCTCATCGGACGGTCCAACTTCCCCACTTCTTTCTCCATACAGGTGGCACACGGACTCCTGGGGACCCTGCTCAGCTACCTGCGGTGTTGGGATCCAGACCCGAGAGGTGCACTGCCTGCACCCCGGGGAGGCCCCCGCCCCCGCCGAGGACTGCGGAGAGGAGAAGCCCCACGCCTTGCAGGCCTGCAATCAGTTCGACTGCCCTCCCAGCTGGCACATTGAAGAATGGCA